AGAACAAAACAGTCCAGGTATTTCTGGAAGTGGGAACAAATCGCACTAAGTCCCAGAAGTCAGGCATTGCAGAACTAGGAAAAAAAATCGTGTCCAGTCCTGACCCCACCCACGTCGGTGAGAGTTCTGTTATTCATATGAGTGAGGCCTCCATGTCGCCCTTACATTTTAAGATTCTTAGTCCTGTTTTTATTAAGACCTGCTATTGGGGGCTGTTTAGAAAATATAGAAGACAGGCCCTTGTTGCAGAGCTAATCACCTGTCATCACCTGTGACGCTTCTTATTCTCAGCTCTACTTCCCGATCTTTCTGTCTTCATTTTCTTTTTTTAGTTCCTTTCCTGCCTAAGTTTTCTGACCACTTCTTGTGTCATCACAAAGAAGCAAGAGACTTTTGCCATCTGTAAAAATCTCACTGCCTCCTACCCAAACCGCATTCACATGCCATCTTCACTCTGACCTCTTACTTCTGATGCTCTCTGAAGTTGTCAGATCTGGCACCCAAAGCCTTCCAGGTTTCTTAAACTCCCTTGATTCCTGTCTCTTGTTCCTTTCTTTTTTCATTTACTGGGTACACACTAATACTGCTTCTGTGGTAAATTGTATGTACATATATGCACATGTATTTTGGCTGATAATTTCATTTAAATAGTAAAGCTTGGCTGCTGGATTTGTCTTTTGGTATATAGTTTGCTTTTAATGAAGTATTAAAGATGCTCCAAGCCAGGAATGCTTTGAAAAACAGTCGTTAAAACAAAAAGAAAAAATAAATTCTGGAAGTGTGTGAACTGGAATTGGTCAGGAAACCTGCGATTTTTTTTTTTTTGTTTGTTTATGGGAAATTCTTACACAAACAAATACGAGCAGCAAGGATTTCTTAGGGTGATATCTTTTCTTGTCCAACTAGGTAGCTGGGATAAAGTTAGACAAGCTTGGGAATGCAAGACATTCTTTCTCATAGTTTCATAGTAGGTAGGGTCTGAAGGGACTTGAGCAGTGTGGCAGAAAGCCACCTTGGTTTCTCCCCAAAAATCTCTGCCCTGTGACACTGTGATTTAAATCTCTGTGCTGTGACCATTCAGTTAGGGTGGGCCCAGCAC